GTGCACTGCTTAAAAATCCAAAAATTTTAATACTCGATGAAGCAACAAGCGCTCTAGATGCAACAAGTGAGGCGGAAGTACAAAAAGCACTTGATACGGCGGTACTGAATAGAACAACATTGGTTATAGCGCATCGTTTATCAACCATTCGAAATGCTGATCTAATTGTAGTGCTGGATCAGGGCAAAATAGTTGAGGTAAATAAATTCTCTAGGCAATTGTATTTTTTTTTTTTATGAAACCAAATTTCCTTTTCAGTCCGGTAAACATGATGAATTAATGTCGAAACGTGGTTTATATTACGATCTGGTGAGGCAACAAGAGAGACATAGTGCACAAGAGCATGAAAATCAAATTCCACAAAAACCGAAAGTCCTAAATGTGGAACAAAATTTTAAAGAGGAATTACAAATTCCACAAGAAATGAAATTAGTATATATTGAATCAAAAGCAAGTCATATGTATAGATCAGCACATCACGAGAAGGAACCCAAAGTGGAGCAGCTTGAAAAAGTTAATAACTTAAATATTTCGTCTGCTGATATTGATGAATATTTAGATAATGAAGGTCCATATATCAGTACGAATTTACAACAAACGGACATGTCACAAGAAGGAAACAACCATCATAAAAATCAAATTCCACAAGAAACGAAAGTTTTAAATGGGGAACAAAATGTAAAAGAGGCTGTGGGGACTAACGTTCAGAAACTTAAAGAAAATAATAATTTAAATGATTTGTCCACTGATTTTGATGTATATTTATCAAATGATGAAAGTCCTTATAACACTACAAATTCAGAACGACCCGATATGTCACAAGGTTGATTATTTTTGATATAAGATTATTCTAAATATTAAGTGGAATTTTAAAAAAAAAAATTTTGAATACTTTAATTTTATACATAATCGATATCTCTGCCTTATGTAAATTTCCAAGCATATATGTATATATAAATGTAGTTTATAACTTATTTGCTTGAGAAGCAATATACATATAAGCAAGCCTAAGTGCTGTAGAAGCAATATTCATGAGGAACTGAAAGTGTGTACCTCCAAATTGTTAACGTTAATGATAGTGGCTTTTTGTGATTAACTAAAAAAATTTGTTCCAATATTGCTCCCAATACCTAAAATTCGTAATAGTATAAGACTAAATTATAAAAGGGATACGGACAACTGTGCTTGGGCGTTTAGAAATATTATAAACAAATTACACAGGATGTTTGTATATGTTTTTTTTGTAATTTTTTTTCTTTTTTTCTATTGTTATTTTTTTCTTCTTGTTGTCATTATTATTTATTGTATGATTTTTCTTTGTAATTTTCCGGTATAAAAATGGAACATTGTATATCTTGTTTAGTTTCCTTGAAGATGACTATCGAAGATAGTCGAAATGTTGGAACAAATATTTTTAATAAAATATTAACTGTTTTTAAATATAAATAATAAATTATAGTGTTTTTATTTCTATTTAAATTAATATTAAATTTTTTGGTCATAAAAGATTTATATTTCAACCAAAAAAATTTGAAACTTAAAATAATGTGTCTGTAAATTAAACAGTTAGAAGATAATTAAAGAACTTCTCAAAGAAATTTTTATTTTTTTATTTGCTTTTATCATACCGATAAGATAAATTGTAATGGTGAATGTTCCCAAAGGAGCCAACCACTAAAATCCACTAGGAAATACCAATATAGTAAAGATGGACACACTCCAACACAAAGAAGAATATATTATACTTAGTTTAGCTTACTAGATGAGATTGTTAAACAGTGAATACTAATATAGAAGCCCAAATCTTGTTGTTGTTCAGAGTTGAGGATTGGGATATAATTTTGCATTGAGGAATAATATAATGAATTAAATGATGGAGTGAAATGTAGTTTACACATTTCATTATCCTATTTTCCATACTGTGTAGAAGTGTTAACAAAATCAAACATTAAATTTCGATTACTTTTTCATCATATGTCATATATGTACATACATCGTTAGCCACAGAAACAGTTTATATATTCCATGGACAGATAAAGAAATTTATTATTGTCCAGACATCTGTTCTGTTTAGTATGTTTACTACTGTTACTTAAAAGCATATACTAAAAGCTAACACGGATGCTAAAAGGCTTCCAGGGTAATCTCCAATGATTCACTAGTACCATATATTTTATCTTATTGTGTACTAAATTTTATATTTTACCACAGAAAATCGTATAAGAACTTCTCTGTATTTTTAATAAATTATTCTTATATATAACTATCATTACGGTATCATAATATAAAGCTATACCTATGCTTATATATGTAATGATTCCTCTCTACTATTGATAGTCTGTAAATAATGTGCAATAAAAAAAATATATATATAATAAAAACAGAGATATATTAACATATATTGTATATAATATAATATATTAATATACTGTACATATACATTTACAATATATATTTCATATATATTAAAATACATTTAAAATGTATATTATTTAATATATTACATATTGATATATTATATATCATATTAATTTATTTAATATACATTAATATATATATATATATATATTAATATAATATTAATATATATATTAATATATATATATTTAATATATATTAATATATATTTAATATATAAATTTTCAAATAAATGGTATATTAAAAATTCATAATGTTGAAAATATAAAATTTTTCACCACAAATTTGTTATTGTGAATTATAAATAAACTAAAACCTATTGTTTTCGAAGTTTCGTGTGTGAGTAAAAGGAATAGAAATATATTATTCGCCGGAATGAAAACGGAATAGAGTTGCCTACTCTTTAGTAAATATTTTTATTTAAAGTTTTTGATAACTTATATCACATGAGTACATAATAGTTTATGAAATATCATATTGTTTTTAATTAAATATAAATTTAGAATTTAATTTAATTTTAAGTTACAATAAATTGAGTGAAATAACATGTTTTTATAATTAAACGCGTTCAATGAGACAACCGCCATCGATCTGATTGGATCATGCCAAATCAAATTGGTTTATTTTAAATGGAATTAGTTTTTGTATACACGTATTTTTTTAAAATACAAAAACAAAATTATACATTTCATTTAATATAATGAGTTAAAGCTAACCCAATTTAAAACATGATGCTGTTTCTATGATTGAGATTGAGATTACGGACAAAATGAGGAGTGAGTATAAAAATAGTGTTCTTATTAATTGCTTATAACAAATCAGTATGATTTATATTGTTAGCAGATTATATCAACTCAGAGCATTTTAAAGCTAAAGGAGTTAAAAAGAGGAGTCAGTGGCGAAGCTAGACCAAATCTGGATGTTAGCGACATCAGAATTTCTAGGCCCCTTTTATTACCGAGTTATAAAATTATGTATGTTAGATTCACAAATACACCGAAGCATTTTTAAAAATTTTATTCTTTATCCAATAAAAATAAATATAAATGCATTTTTCTACTTTTAGATCCACTGAATTTTTTTTTTAAATATATTATAATTTGCACCAGCTGCTATTTTCGCTTTAATTGATATAATTGCCAATGCAGATAGCATCGCTTGGTCTTAATTAATTTTAACTTTGAGAAACTTATTTCAGCAGAAACTGAGATCATGATTTTGGTTACTATATAGACATTCGGATATACTTCCTCTAAATTATATTCTTTAATCTTCTTTTAGACTGTATATATAACCAAATCATTTTTTCTCTGGTAAGTGTAGCTAAGATTTTAAGATATATGTACAACTATATACGAGTCCTCTATGGTGCGAATCCGTCGATGGCGGTCCTAACGCTGCCATTGAGTGGAGTTTTAAACGCAATTTTAAAATACCATTTTCGCACTTTTTTGTGTGAAGTCACAATAAAAATTTGGTGAGTTCAGATTGTAATATATTAAAAAATATATATATTATTTTTATTTTTAATATTTTATATCTATAGAAATCAATTTAAAATTAATTATTAAATTGTTGTTTATAAAAAATTTATTATTATTTTATTTATTTATTTGTGAGCTAACATTAAAATTAATTTTCATAGGTCCTTCGCCCTAGATATAAAAAAAAAATTTTTTTTAATAGCAGTTCTGTGAATCTTATATGGCGTTTACACTGGCCGAAAATAATTCCTTTCAAATGAGTCATTTGAAAGCGTTTACATTCATTGTAATTCATTTGTTCTTATTCCAAACAGCTGATTTTTCGTCTTGCCTATTGATTTGATTTTTGGTCTGTGCCACAAAAATGTTGGATGAAGGTTAAATATATTTTCAGACTGAAAACTTAATTAAGCTTCGATTAATTTTTTTTTTGGGAAGTAGAAGTTTCAAAAAGAGGTGCATCGCTTTCAAGGTAATGCAACCATGAAACATTTGTTTACCTTTTTTTTGTAAATATGTCAGAAACAGCTTTCTCAAAACAACTTTTATTTAGGGTATGTTCAATGTATTGATTTGCATTTGGAACATATTTGGAACTCATTTTAATCTCGTTGGAGCTTATTTATACAGAATGAGATCCAATAGATCTCATTTGCGCTTGAGATTTTGTATGCAAAAGTGAGTCATTTGCTTCTCATTTTTGATTTTTGAACAAAATGAGCCATTTGAGGCCAGTGTAAATGCTATATTAAATAAACTCATTATTTAATAAAAATACATATGTATATATGCACATATTACTTATACTTACGCATATACTAATACCTATTTATATATGTATGTGAAAAAAATTACAAATTATGTTATAATAATTTAATAATTATTGCTAATTATAAAATTTTAATATATTACCAATAAACTATTTCTGTCAGTATGACTAAAATATATTGTATGTTGACATACAAATTATGAACTATTGTGAATGGCACTAAACGACAGCCTACAACATCTTTTTTAATTGCAGCATTCATTTCGTAGAGTTCGTGTCGTGTGTGTCCAATATTCTTGTACCAGTAGTCGCAAGAGAATAATGTATTCAAATAAATAAAAAAATTATAAGAAAAATGTGAAAATTAAATTTGAAGAAAATATCAAAACAAAGAAATATTTATTATATTTCTAATATTAACGCGGAATGTGTGCGATTAACGCCAAAAATCCAAAGCAATGAAATTATAAGGTGGAGTAGCCAAGTACTACGAATACCAAAAACAAAAGAGAAAACGAACGAATGCTTGTGTCTGCGTGAAATTTTTAACTATTTTTTTTTTCTCCAATATTTTATATGCTGTCTGCACACGAATAACATTAAAAATAAAAAACAAATGTGCAATAATATGTTTAACAGGTGTTTGGACAAAAAGTGTTGCATTAAAATTTCATGAATGTTTGTAATAAACAAGAATGCATGATTAATAAATATAAAGTGGAATGCAGTTGTATAAAATTCTAACACAGATTTTCGCTGCTTTTTAATTATTTAGTTATGATTTTAGCTTAAATTCAAAACAATATTAAATGTATGGTTTCTTCAAAAAAAAAGAAAAGTTTTTGTATTTTATCTTTTACAAGATTTATTTTTATTTTATTTTTTGTACAGACCACTTGTGTTTTTTTTTGTTGTATTGACAGCATAATTGCTGCAATTGTGAATTGTTTTACGCGCTTTTCCCCTACATTTAATTCGCCGCATCGAATTTATTAGTTTACAATTGTCAAAAATTCCATTCATTCAATGTTGCCTGTATTGTGACTTTGTATGAACGGAGCATTTCTATACATCGGCAATCGTAAACACAAAATATATTATTTCTTAAATCGGTTTTTTATGTATTAAAAAGTGTGTTAATATATCTAAAAAGTAAACAATACAATTTTATTTTCATTATAAGTTCTATTTTGCATTTTTTTTTCAACAAAAATTTTTTTATCCCCCACAGCATCAGTTAAACGTTAAACAAAACGCACATAAACATTCAAATGTCTACATACACACACAAATGAATTGGTTGCATTTAAGAAAAGAAAAGAAAAAAAATAAAGTAAATATAAATGCAGAAGGGCGTGCAAACGATAATAATTATTCCCAGTGTAAAATATAAAGTGCCAACACCCTTAAATATTCTATTATTAAAATTAATATAAACAACGAAATATTATTGTAAATAAAAAAAATATAACGTTTAGTGTTTAAAGTTTTGTAAAGTGTAAAAAAAACAACAAAAAAGAGAAAAAAAAATGGGCAATTGCCTACGCACAGAGAAACCAGACATCGACAAGACACATGTGGAGCGGAATCAACTTGACGATCCCGCTGGTGTGGGTGTCACCGGCGTACAGCAACTGACAATGCCTATTGGCCAACCGCAGGAGCAAATACGTCCTGTTCCACAGATTCCAGAAAATGAGACTTCCAATGCAAATGCAAAAATATTTGTCGCCTTATACGACTACGACGCACGTACTGACGAGGACTTAAGTTTTCGTAAAGGAGAACACTTGGAAATTTTAAATGATACACAGGTAAGTTCGGATATTATTAGAAAATTGATTAAAGTAGCTTCTACTAAGTATATGAGATAATATAAAGTAATGGTTTATGCATTACGCTAAGACCTTTATGCACTGCAACCAGCTTGATCTATTTTGCACTCCTGCATTCGTCGATCTCTCCTCTCTTTTAATAATTATGTCGACACCTTTTGCAATGAAACTAACATCAGTACTAACATCGAATATAAACGTGGACATAAGACCCTCCACACAGATGCAGTATCTCCTTCAAGACCTAAGTTGTCAGACAACAAAGTTCTTAATAGGTCTACTCCGGAAATCTCCCCAGATGAACTTTATCTCCCCCGTGCAGCAGGAACTGTTCTAGCTCAATTGAGATCAGGATATAGCCGAGTGCTAAACAATTACTTGTCACGCATAAACACGTCTCCCCATGACGTCGCCCATCTGTTCACCTGTCCTTTTACACACACAAACCCTCGACCAATTAAACTTTGAACTCACTACATTGAAGTGGCCAGGTTTCTTAGTGAAGTATAGTTGAATATGTTCACATTTAGGGAGTATAAAACGATGATAATGTAAAATCATATTCCATTAGGCAATTGATCAATCTTAAATCATCGATTAAAAAGCCCTTTAGAGTTCTGAACAATTCTTAAGAGTTACTTTACTAGGACTTCGGATAGTTTACTTAAACTATTAAGAAAGTCTAATCGTCGACAAGTAAACCTACTTAACATAGAGATAGAGCTAACTTAATACACTTATTTCATTCTCCTCGCCTTTACTGTTATGTTGGCCATATGTAGTGTTCTGTTTTATCTGAGGTCTCGACCTTATGATTGATTAACTACTATGAATTCATATCATAAACTTTAGAGTTTGAGATGTTAAAGTCAGAATGTGATAAGAGGAAATGCTCAAGCAGAATTAGTACTTAACTCATAATGCTTATAATATGACTGAATAAAGTAGTTTAAATATATTTAATTAATTGCAATATTTTTTTTGTTGTTCCCATTCAATATTTATAAAGTACTCCAAAGGAATTTGAAGTTCAATGTCTACATTCAAATAAAAATACCCTTACAATTCCGTTAAACCCTTATGCATGCTTTTCATCCACCTTCATTATGTTTTAATTTGAAAGGATCTATGTAAGGGTATTTTTTCCTTTCTTATTTGTTTATCAATCCGTAATGTATTAAGTACTTAAAAGTGGAAAATAATTTCCATTTATGTGGGAGAAAGTATTTCCTCCTTAAATACTTTCACAGCTGCTCGCCCATAATTGTAAACTTGCCTGCAACGTGCATGACTCAGCCTTCAAAACTTCACAGAAATGAATCACGTATCGTAGAGAAAAAATAGCTAAAGTTCATTTTATTAAAAAAAAATATTTTTTCAATAAAATCAATCACTAATTTTAATATTGAACTTTATACTTCTAAAGTGTCAGAAACTTTTTCCAATAATTCTATAATTTTTTCAACAACTTACAAGTTGAATAAAAAATGATTTTGTAATTATTATAATATTGGAATGATATTGGTTAAGTACGGAATATACTGAATATAACATAATAAAACATATATTATTTAAGTGTACTAGCTGAGAGGATAACTAGGTAGTTTAAGGCCACCTTTGCTCTTGGTGGTACCACATGATCCCATTAGGATTCCAAACAAATTATTAACTTCTGTAGAATCACTTTGGTAATATCACAAATTGGTAATTTCTGAGATAATGCTTAATAATTAAGATATCACCTGATATAGTCATTATATCTTTGCTATATGGTAGACGAAAACGGGTATGTACTTAATAATCTTGTATAGATTATAAACAACTTGTTTACACTATATAACCCTGTGACAGTTGTTGCATTGAATAGAATGTGTTATTTGCCTATGTATAAAACTTTTAATAATAATTGATAAAAAAAAAAATAAATGACTAAGTCCATTGTACCAAGCTACACTGACTACAGTTATATATTATATGTAAGAGCTGGATTGTGATCATATATTGCAACTATCGTATCTATCACGATGTGATGGAAGTAGTTGTCTATACTTAAATATGTTTAAAATTTTAAAATTGCGCCCATCGTACCTATCACGATCTGTTGGAAATAGTTGTATATTTACTTAAATATATTTTTAAATTAAAAATACATAACTGTTTTCTTTATTAAAATGTTTAGGTTTGTAGCTATCGGTTTTTTTTTCCGGTGGATAGCATTGAAGTTCACAGTGGGAGACTTGATCCCACTAAAACCAGCTCTTAGGAATGAATGGAGAAGCATTCCAAAGTAATGTGGAAACTTCATTCCAGTAATCAGGGGAGAGAGATGTAACCGAGAGACTTAATATCTATCGGGTTAAGTTTATTTAAGCCAGAAAGTATGGGCGTAGTGGAAAGGATACTTTCATTTCTAATATAGCATAGGACGCCAATAATTGTTAGCAATATATTTTTTTTGACAATGTTATTTTTTTATTTTTGCTCTTTGTGGAGCATTTCAACATTGAAGATACTAGGATTAAAAAATAGCTGGATACTATTAGTCCATAATAATTTAAAAAAGCTGTACTTTGTACTCTAGGACTAGACGAGACTTTCTCTAAGTGTAATTGAAGGCTTTATTTTTGACTTGAACTGGCTTGCGCTTAGTTAGTCCGCTGCAAGAGATATACTCAAATTAGAGATAAAAATTACTTGACTATATGTAATTTACTATAATGCCAACCATTTCTTCATCCTAAATAAAATAGTCTGAAGTTGGCTACCGATATTTCTGTTTTGACATACAAATGCCTAAATCACTTATTAAGATATCAGATGTGTCAAGTATATAGGTAAAGGGTTCAAGCCGCTTCCTTGTGGAACATTAGCTGTTGTTCCTCAAGATAGCGGCTCAAGATTATTATTATTAATTTGGTGTATACTTCTTAGACTAATAATAGATATAATAAATTTTAATTGAAAATAAAAATAATAATAATAATGAATTAACTATTAATATTATTTTTGAAAAATGAAAACGTATGTTAATTAAATTGAAAATATATTCTTCTTTCAAACTGTTACACATAAGTACGAGTGGAAGATACTTCTATGTATATAGCACAAATATATTTAAATTTTCTTTAAAAAACGGAAATAATAATATAGTGTTGCTTGTGTCAGGATGTAATAATTAGTGTATTATAGAAAATATTTTTCTTAAAACTATTTTAACAATAACATCAAATATAACATTAGCGACAATCTTTCGTTTATGAATAAAAATATTTCTCATTAAACTGATAAGTAATCTTTCAATTATATTATAATTTTGCAGATTGTTTAAACAAATTCATAGAAAATTGTAAAAAAGATGTAGTTTGATTGAAAGATTAAAACTTCAAGCCCGGGTTTTTCCCACACATCAATTTTTTTCTGTATTTTTTATAATTAAATATTTACTTGATTTCTAATACATTATCAATTAGTCACAATTAAAAAAAGTAATCTGTAATAAATTTAAAAGATATATTAAAATATTAATATTATTTTGTATAAAATCGGTATCAGTTCAAAGAAAGGAATATTAAATATATTATTTTAATTGTTTTGAAATATTTGGCTGCATTCTGAGGTTCATATGTTCTTCAAGAAATGAGTAAATAAATAATAATAATAATAATAAAGTAACAATAAAAAAATAATAATAATAAAATAATTATAAAAAATAATAATAATAAAATAACAATAATAAAATAATAATATATCAATAATGTGGTTTTCGAAAAGTAGTGAACTACAACAACAAAAATTCATTTTATATTATTTTAATTAATTAAATTTTTGGCTGACCATACAGCTGTTTCTTCTAGTATTGCCAAATAATCATCATCAGAGGTCTTGGATATAATTCTTGTATTTAATTTAGTCGTAAATTATTTTATGAGACTGCAAGTACCAGGAATCGAACTCGTGCCCTGCCAAATTTGAAGCTCAGAGTCAGTGCTCCTTAACCAACTGACTCAAAGCCGTACTTGACTTATATGTTCACACATTTTGGTGGAGTTTTGTACTTTGCTGTAAATATTTTATTAACAAATTCACTTGCTGCGTTTATTTTAGAACAAAATCATAAAACAACTGTAGAATAATTAAATTATTAATTATATTTTTATTTTTTAATTGTTAAATTTCAATACTATTCTGTTTGTAAATCAAATCAATTCGGTTTGTAATAAAATAATAAAAATAATAAAAATAATAAAATAATAAAAATACTAAAAATAATAAAAATAATAAAATGATAATAATAATAAAAATATTAAAAATAATAAAATGATAATAATAATAAAAATATTAAAAATAATAAAAATATTAAAAATAATAAAATGATAATAATAATAAAATAAAAATAATTGAAATAATTCTTCCTAATAATATTCCTAATAAATTATAAAAAATAATACAATAAAAATTTGCACTTTCCACTCCTTTTCTATTTAAAGTGGATTTTTTGTCATTGGACAAAAGTAATTTTTAATTAGATTATTATTATAAATTTTGTGTCCAATCAAATAAATATATAGTATTGGTCCTCCAATCAAATAGAGAAATTTTAATACTGAACAATATTCAATTTTTTCCATTTTATAAAAAATCACCAAGGTGCACTATTTCAATTTTTTGCAAAAAGTTAACCTAACATCTGATGAAATCGAAACTTTTACAAAATATAATTGATTTTGTTTTGGAGTTGCGACCTTTTGTGAAGTTAGGTACTTATAAATCCACCTAGTATAAGCCAGTACTTTAGTTTTTTAAAACGTTTTGTATGAGCAGCTTCACATTTCAACTCCTTCCACAAATTTTGCTTAGTCATTTCATTTGTCTTGAAATCAGTATCCCGGAGAGCTGATTTTAGTTTCGGGAACAAAATAAATGATATTTGCAATAAATGTCATTTATTATAGTAAAAGCTTCAACATAAACTTAAATAA